CCTTTTTAGGGCCTCTCTAACAAGCCTCCTTAGCTTGTCAAAGTCAGCTTTCCTGAAGTCGAGGACTCCTGTATAACTGACTCCCTTGCCAGGTTTATGGCAGATGGTGAAGGTGATCAGTTCATGATCACTGTCACCCAGCTTCCCTTCGATTGTTAGGTTGCCAGTTAGGTCATCCCCGGTTGCCAGTACAAGGTCAAGCAGTGCTTTACCTCTTGTCAGCCCATAGACTTCCTGCATCAGATTTCATCCACACATGAGATAAAGCTATGCAACTGCTCGGATTTGGCCAAGCACTCCTCCCATGAGATATCTGGGTAGTTAAAGTCTCCCATGACCACCATACACCAGGATTGTGTGGCCTCAGCCAATTCCCTGGTGAGCTCCTGGTCAAGGTCTTGACTCTGGGTAGGGAGTCTGTAGTAGCCCGCCACCATAGTATCCCCTGCGCTGTGCTCCCCATGGATTTTAACCCAGAGTGTCTCAAGTTGTCCACCATGGATGCCAATGTCAGCTTGTAGGGATGCATAGCTTTCCTTGACATAGAGAGCTACGCCCCTGCCCCTTTTGTCCACTCGATCCCTCCTGTACAGGGTATAGCCATCTATACACATGGTCCGGTTGTGGGTGGAGTCCCACCAGGTCTCTGTAATCCCAGTGACATCACAGTTATTTTCATTTACAAGGAGAACAAGTTCTTCCTATTTATTCCCCAGGCTCCTGGCATTTGTGTACAGACATGCAAGTGTCCCCTAAGTAGCTCTTGCCTCGCTTACATTTTGTTCCAGGGCTGGGGTTGGGGTGGGATCCCTTATGTGTCTTGGCCTGCTGGCTTTTCAAGGGCCACTTGGTGGGCCAGGAGCAGCAGTAGTCCCCCCCATCCCCCAGCCGGCTTAGTTTAAAACCCGGTGGAGCAGGTCACCCAGTCTAGCTGAGAAGAGCCTCCTCCCCAGCAGAGAGAAGTGGAGGCCATCCCTTTCCAGCAGCTCGCTGCCTCTCTTGCCAAAGAGTGGACTGTGGTCATGGAAGCCAAAGCCTTCCCAATGACACCAGCACCGCAGTCTGTGGTTGACTATGTGGACCCTCCTTTCCCTCCTCAGCCCACAGCCTGAGACTGGGAGGATCAAAGAAAACGCCACCTGTGCCCCCAGACCCTTTAGCCCTGCTCCCAAATCCATGAAGCACCTCACGACTCTGCTAGGAGCACTCTGAGCCATGTCATTGGTGTCCACATGGATGAGGAGCGTGGCATAGTGGGCTGTGGGCTGGAGGAGTTTAGGGATGTTGTCTGCAATGTCACGCATGCGGGCCCCCAGAAAGCAGCAAACTTCCCGGGCTAAGAGGTGGGGTGGCAGATTGCCCCCTCAGGATGGGGTCTCCCACGACAAACACTTTGCCTTTGGTCTTGGGGAGAGTAGGGACGGTAGCTATAGTGTCCTCTGTGTTGCCTGTGGCAGCTGGCAACTCAGCAGGCTCTGCTGGGGCTGCAAGAGGCTCATACTTGTTGCAAAGCTCCAGCAGGGGAGGGCGGGCCCTAGGGCCCTTGACTACCTTGGTCCAACCCTGTGGTTGGACAGAAGGGGAGGTCCCTGAGTCCTCCCTTGTCCTGGAGGAAGACCATGATCTACCCTCTGCCTCCCAGGGGAGAAGGGCCTGGCAGTAGGAGTCTATCTCCTGCTCACAGTCCCTGATGGCATGCAGTCTCTGGACTGTGGCCTGGAGCTCCTCCAGCTGGCATGCCAGAGACCCCAGTAGGGAGCAGACCCCCACAAGGG